GGCTGAGGTAGGAGAATCCCTTGAACCTGGGAGGCGGAGGTTGCAGTGAGCAAAGATCGTACCACTGTGCTCCAGCCTTGGCGACAGAGTAAGACTGTCTCAAAAAAAAAAAAAAAAAAAAAAAAGAAATAAACCTCCTCAAAATAACAAAGGTCAGACCTGAGAAGCCCACAGCTAATGTCCGACTGAATGGTGGAAGAGTGACGAGTGAAACCTTTTCCTCCAGGATCAGCAGTGAGGTGAGGGTACCTCCACTTGCCACATCTGTTCACCACAGCGATGGATTTTTGTACAGAGCTACTGGGCAACAGAAAGCAGTATCAATTATTCAAATTGGAAGAAGTAATTTTGGATTTGGTTTGCTCTTTTCTAATTATTTAAGATGCATTATTAGTTTGTTCATTTGAAGTTTTTCTACTTTTTTTGATGTAGGTGTTTTTTGCTATAAACTTATCTCTTAGTACTGCTTTTGCTTATCCCATAGGTTTTGGTTTGACTTTAAATATAAAGTTTTTCTTTTCTTTTCTTTTTTTTTTTTTTGAGACAGAGTTTCGCTGCTGTTACCCAGACTGGAGTGCAATGGCATGATCTTGGCTCACCACAACCTCCACCTTCTGGGTTCAAGCAATTCTCCTGCCTCAGCCTCCCGAGTAGCTGGGACTACAGGCACGCACCACTATGCCCAGCTAATTTTTGTATTTTTAGTAGAGACCGGGTTTCACCTTGTTGACCAGGATGGTCTCGATCTCTTAACCTCGTGATCCACCCGCCTTGGCCTCCCAAAGTGCTGGGATTATAGGTGTGAGCCACCGCGCCCAGCCAAGTTTTTCTTTTCTCAAAAACTCTGTCATAGTATTGGCTTTGAGTGCCTTGGGCAGTGAGCCCCGCTTTTTAGTTGGCAACTTGACAATGTAAATAAATAAATGACATCTAGATTGAAAAGGAAGAAGTACAGTTATCTTTATGTACGGATAACAGGATCTTGCATTTAGAAAATCATACACTATTACTAAAAAGTATTAGGACTCATGAACAAATCTAGGAATGTAACACTCTACAAGATTGACATTCAAAAATCAATTGTATTTCTTTACCAAGAAATCAAGAATCCAAAAATGGAATTTCAAAAATAAAATCCTGTTACAATGGAATCAAAGCTGGGATAACTTTAACAAAAGAAACTTAAACTTGAACACTAAAAACTACAGTACATGGTTAATGTTGGAAACACCCAGGTATCATCCCTGAGCTTTCTCTCCTTGGCTCTGAGGACTTTACTCCATAGGGTAAGGAGAGGGATTGCATTCTTGGCTTTTATATTATATTAGGTGGGTTCGGGGTGAGGTGTCTGCACATTCAAATGAGCATCACAATCTCTACTTTTATGGATAAGAGACTGAGGCCCACAAAGATGGGGAATGACAATCCATATCCTAGAAGGTGAAATATCAGGCACTGATTTCCCCTATGTAACCCCTGCCAATCACCTGTATTTGGAGGATCCCCAGATACCATACAAATAGGTGTTCAAGAGAGAGGCCTGTAATCTAGGCTCTGAGAAAGGAAGGCTGGAGATTCCAATACTGGAGGCAGCAGGGCTCTGGGAAGATTAAAGTTGAGTTTTGTGGATCTGCAGAATAGGGTCACTGAAGAGCAATTGCGAGATCAGAGACAATGGGGGACAAGGCAGGGGATACTTGGTAAAAGAGAAAACCAAGAACAGGTTTTAGGCAAGAGTCACACTGATGAAGGGCAGGTTCTTGGTGTTGCTCAGGAAGGAATTCAAAGGCAAGCCTGCGGCGGAAGAACGTGGCTCTACGAGGCATTGGCAGTGTGGCAGCTTTCTGACTGCAGAGCCGGGAGCACTGCACAGGTTGTACTACCAGGGCAGCAGCCCAGGGTGGTTTGTAGTCACTTTTAATTGCATGCTAATTAAGGGGCGGGTTATTCAGAAATAGCTAGAAAATGGGCAGTAACTCCCAGGTGTTTCCATGGCAAGGGGCAGTGATTTTCCATGCTGCCCAGGCACTGGCAAACTGTCACGCACTGGTGGGAACATCTTCTGGTGGTCTGTGGCCTGAGGTGCTTTCACTGCGTTTCCCAGTTTCCTGTGTGCCTCTTACCTTAAAGCCCTTCACACCCCCATCTGCCCACCCACAAATGTCACTGCCCTTCATCCTACCCCCGTTTCACAAGAACTCCCACATCAACCCTGAGCATTCAAGCCAGCTCTTCTCTGTTAGGAACCTCGGTGGTAGCCGGAGCTCCGAGGAACCCCTGTGCAGAATGCCTTGCTTAGTTTGTGACAGAAAGCAGGGACAGGAAGGCAAAGTTCAGGTCTTTCTCACAATAAATAAATAAATAAAGATGGGTAGACTGGATTGATGAAATGTGGGAATTTATGGGCAAATATTTATCAGACACTGGAAGTGTAAGTTGCTGCAGGGTCTGGCCCTACTGGGTCCTGTGAGCCCCTCTCTACTGGTGCGGAGACAAGAAACTGTGGAAATAAAGACTCAGACACAGAGATCAAGAGAACGAGAGTTTGGGTTCCGGGGTCCACTGCCAACCAAAGGGTGGAGTCCGGCCGTGGCCCTGAGCACCTGGACACTCTGACTTTTATTGAGTACAAAGCAGGGCTCAGGGTAGGTAGGGCGAGGTGGTCAGTGAAAAGGTCAAGTAATTCACATGCCTTGGAGACAGGGGCCCAGGACTTTGAAGTAGCTGAGGGGAGGAGAAAACCTAATGCATCAGCGCTTTTTCCATACTTGTCAAGAAAGAACAAAGACATTACGATTTATGTTACTTTTACTAATTCTTATCTTCTAAGAAAAAGAGGAACCAGCAGGTGCAGAAGCAGAACGTGAAAGTCTGCTTTCTGTGGCAGACATGGAATGTGACCACTGAAGCAGAGCATCGCATAGAGACAATTAAGCCCCTGGATGTCTGTGGGTCTCCCTGACAGCTGTCAGGCCTACCACAAGAGCCTGGGGGAGCGGAGTTTTCTCCTGACTCCTCCGAGGAAGGACTCATCTGAGACGTCTCCGTCCACAGCTGGCTAAACAGTGGGCGCTTTCCCAGCACCGGCGCTGCTGCACAGCCAGGGCGCCGTCTCGCAGCCCTTATGCCAGTGTGAAGAGGGCTTAGAGCTCTTGCCTTAGGGTCACCTCTTTCACAATGTTACTTCAGTTCCATGCTTCATGACTCAAGAATCATTAGTAAAATTAAAAGGTTATATTGAGTGTCTATCTATCTATCTATATCTATGATTACAGATGAATAACTGTGATTACTTATGATTATATATAGGAATAACTATGTGACTGTATCTCTAATTCTTTTCTAGTTCAATATTTACATGGGAACAGGCTGAGGCTTCAGACCCTTGCCTGGCACTTGTGGGGTCTCTCACCCATAAGTTGTCACAAAGATTATGGAGTGTGCCTGTCTTATGACCCTGTTATTTATTTATTTATTTTTAGGTGGTTGAAAATATTTTTAATATGTTCCATAAATCTTATCACATCTGGATTTGTCCAGCATTATCAACAGACTCTTTATTCAAGCCTAGTTTATCTAATAGATTTTGTCAAATTAAAGAACTCAGTCACATGCTGTAGAATAAACATTATAGCAACTATCCCTAAATTCAGTAGGTGAACACTGATCTAGTAGAGTACTTCAAAGCTTTCCTATAAGGCAACATTTGACTTGAATACAGATTCATCAGTGATTTGTGTTAGTAAACACAAACCTAACACTCATTATTTAAACACACAGGAATAATTGTATGAATACAAGTACATAGCATGATGGCCAATTGGGCTATTACATGAATAATATATTAGTGAGCATTTTGTTTTATTTATCATTCAGGCCTGGGGTGCTGGTCCACCTCTCTGGGTCCAGCCTGTATCTGGCACAGAGCCACAGCTGCCACAGAGTCAATGAAAAGGGTGTCAAGGCTGCAGGATGGAGCCTGTGTTTAAGGAGGAGCGTGATGACATCACATTGGCCTCGCGCTCCTGAAGGCTCAGGAGCCTGTGAGCCCGTACAGCCTCCTAGCCCAGTTATTGTAGACCTCCGGCAGGGATTCTGTCTTCAGGTTGGGTTTCAAGGTGACCCTATTATTTTATCCCAGTATATACACTAGAGCAATTTTTCTAACTATGTAATATAATCTATTGAAGGCTCACAAATTAGTTTAGTGAGAGAAAAGACAACCGATTGGAAGAGAATTACCATATTCATTATTTGTATTTTGAAAAATTTAAAGTAAAATACAGACATGATTTTTTTTCATGCCTTCTAATGCATCTATAAAAAATAGACTTGGGGGCTGGGCGTGGTGGCTCATGCCTGTAGTCCCAGCACTTTCGGAGGCCAAGGCGGGCGGATCATGAAGTCAGGAGTTCCAGACCAGCCTGGACAGCATGGTCAAACCCCATCTCTACAAAAAAACACAAAAATTAGCTGGGCATGGTGCCGCGTGCCTGTAGTCCCAGCTACTCAGGAGGCTGAGACAGGAGAATCGCTTGAACCGAACCAGAGAGGGGGAGTTTGCAGTTAGCCAAGATCACGCCACTGTACTCCAGCATGGGCGACAGAGCGAGACTCCATCTCAGAAAAAAAAAGACTTGGGTTCTATAACAGCAATACCTACACTAGAACATAAAAAATAAGGTTATTCATTAATTGCATAGACCAATTGGCCGCTATTGGAATTTGCCCATTATTTTCACGTGTCCCGGGTTGTGAAACCAGGATTTAATAAAGAAGCAGAATGCACACCTGTGTCACATGGGTAGGTACCAGTCCTGAATCAGTAAATCCGGGTCTAGGGTAGTGGGACGCACTGCTGGGAAAAACAAAATGTCTGGCAGGGTGCCTAACGGAGTCCGTGGAGCCTCATGGGAAATGTAGTCTCACCTTCCAATGATGTTACCAGCAAAGAACCTTGGGAACCAGCTCTTTTATCTCTGCGCATGAGCCGCCCCGCCTACTCCGCCATTTTCCTCCGACAGTGGGGATTCAAGAGGTCCTTATGCAGCTGGGCAGGGCTGGGGTTGTGTTTTGTGTCCCTGCGGGTCGGTGCGAGAGCGAAGAGGAACCCGCGGGCCTCGGGGAATCCTGGGGGGCCGGACCGGTGTCTCCCAATTGGTGGGAGCAGAAGCGTGGGCGCATCGCGGGCGGGCGGGGCCTGACGTGCAGGTGCGGGCAGCGGAACCTGGCGGGGTGGGAGAACAGTTGCGGGGCCCGGCACAGAAGCGGGTTCCAGAGGCGCCGGAGCTGGTAGGCGAGGTCAGTGGCCCTGTGGCCGGAGTCTGAAGGCTGGGCTCCTGCCTTGCCACTGAGGGACCCGGTTACCAACCCGCGTGAGACTCAAGTTTGCCCATCTGTCCCGGGAGCGAGTACTCAATTCTCGGGAGATGCCCCACATTCCCAGAGGCGTGCGAAGCGCGTGCGCCTCGAGTCTTACTATCTGGCGTTTGTATTCGTTGGGTTTTCCGGCGTCTCTTTGGCGAGTGAAGTTTCTGGTGTGAAACTTCACTGTGTGACCGGCCTAGTCCTCCTGGGTTGAGTTTACAGAAGTTTATACAAGACCTAGTTTCCAGGGAAGAAGTCACGGATTTTGCGAGGGAGATGGGATACTGGATGATGGTCTTCAGTCTTAAGGGTTCTTCAGTCTTGGCCGGGCGCGGTGGCTCACGCCTGTAATCCCAGCACTTTGGGAGGCCGAGGCGAGTGGATCAGGAGGTCAACATGGTGAAACCCCGACTCTACTTAAAATACAAAAAATTAGCTGGGCGTGGTGGCACGTGCCTGTAATCCCAGCTACTCAGGAGGCTGAGGCAGGAGAATTGCCTGAACCCAGGAGGCGGAGGTTGTGGTGAGCCGAGATCGCGCCATTGCACTCCAGCCTGGGTAAGAAGAGTGAAACTCCGTCTCAAAAAAAGAAAAAAAAAAAAGAAAAAAAAGATTCTTCAGTCTTAACCGGTGTTACAAAGTTTGAAGGGGAGGATAACCTATGAATAAGAATCTCACTTGAAAGAACACCCCTCTGGTCTAACCTCTAATCAGTGCTTCAGAGGAGAATAAAAAAGGATCACAGATGAAGATCCCAGTTTTCCTGGCTCAGGAAATTATTAATTCTCCCTAGAATGCACAAGATTTGCAAAGACTGGGTGATAGTGGAAGGTTGGGATGAACTTTCAGAAAGATGAGGTGAATTCGGCTGAGACGAACAGGCATGGCACCTAGAAAATACTACTTAATTGGAAGGGACTTGAAAGTGTGGTCTGTGGTGCACGAGTAACCTGATATATCTGAGAAGATTTCTCTGAAGTACTCTCTAAACACAGTCTCATTCCTTCAATCTTAACTAGTCGTTTCCAGTGTCTGAGCTATCTTAAACCTGGTCTGTCACCAGATTTGGCATCTGGAGATATGCTGTTGTTTCCTCTATCCTGATAGCTGTTTGTGATAAACTGGAAAGGCTTTGCCAATGTATTTCTACCTTATAAGAAAGATGTAAAAACTTAGATTTGAGGAGATGCGACTTGCCCAGCGTAGTAACTTATAGATGTTAGGCATCCTGACTCTTGGGTGAGCGTTACTTGTTCATTTTGCCACGAGTCAAGACAAGTGTTTCCTTTTGAGATTTTTGTTGTGTCACTGAAGTCAATTCAGAACAAACATTGTTTTAAACTACCTTGCCTTAAAAACCCCTATTTTTAAAATCTCCTTTATGTGTGCTTTATGTGGAGAATGTGACCTCAAAGAGCAAATAATACAGGTGAACAGGAGCCTATTGTACATTATTTAAGACAGGAAAATTAAGACTTTCACATAGCTGCTCCAAAACAAATTTTAAAAATGTAATAGAGTACAATGTTCACCTGTAAGAAATAGGCCCATTTTATGTTTTATGGTTTTCAAAGTAAACACTTTATTTTGAGAACAGTGTCTCACTTTGTCACCCAGCTTGGAGTGCAGTGGTGCTCACAGTCATGGCTTCCTGCAGCCTTGCCTGCCTAAGCTCAAGCAGTCCTCCCACCTCAGCCTCCCGAGTGGGTGGCACTACAGGTGTGGGCTACCACATCTGGCTAATTTTTGTATTTTTTTGTAGAGATGGGGTTTCTCCATGTTGCCCAGGATAGTCTTGAACTCCTGAGCTCAAGCAGTCTGCCCACCTCGGCCTCCCAAAGTGTTGGAATTACAGTTTTGAGCCACTGTACCCAGCCTAGACTTTTTAATGTTGTGAAAAACTGAAAACATAGCTTTCTGTTGTGCAAACAATTGCTTTTTATGATTCACATAGCCTTCATTGGTGACAGCAACCTCACTGAAGTCTATCCAATTGACACTGTGATTTACCTTCTTTCTTTTCTTTTTTCTGAGACAGGGTCTCTGTTGCCCAGGCTAGAGTGCAGTGGCACATCATTCTGTCGCCCAGGCTAGAGTGCAGTGGCACAATCAGGGCTCCCAGGCTCAAGTGATCCTCCCACCTCAGTCCCACCCCGAGTAGCTGGGACTACAGGTGTGCACACCTACACCCCGCTAATTTTTTGCATTTTTTTATAGAGATAGGTTTCTCCATGTTGTCCAGACTTGTCTTGAAGTCTTGGATTCAGGTGATCTGCCCACCTTAGCCTACCAAAGTGCTGGGATTACAGGCATGAGCCACTGTGCCGGTGTGATTTTCTTCTGCGTAAGAGTGTGAAGTTCTATTGATTGTATTTGACTTGTACTTGAAGATTTTCTCCCCAACATAATTTTGTTTAAAACGTACTGAATTCTGTTTGCTTAGGTGTAACAGTTAATACTTGCTGTTTAAGGAGATAATCAAACCTTAATGACTTAAAAAAAACCAACTGTTTTATTTGTTTGACATTCTGTGGATCTGCATTTTGGTGTGGTGGGTTCAGCTGGGTAGTTCAGTTCATATATTTATGTTGCCTGGATCACAAAAGAGGCCTCAGTCACCTGGTGCCTTGACTTAGCCTGGTTGGTTTAAGCTAGATTCCTGCAGAAATCTGGTGATTTGTACTGACTCTTGGCTAGGCCCTGTGTTTCCAACAGGGTAGCTCCAGACTTCTTCACAATGTGACTATGTCCAAAAAGGCAAGAACCAGTAGGCAAATACTTTTCAGCTCACCGCAAACCTATATTTGATCACATTTTTCATTGTCCATTCATTGGACATGTCAAATGGAAAAGCCCAATTCATTGTCAGAGCATAATATGAGGGCTTGGATACAGGGAAAGGTGTTATTGGGAAACACGAGTAGAATGTTGTACTGCAGGAAATATATATTATGTACATTAAAAAAAAAGTAGGCAAAAATTGTTGGGTTGCAAGATGCAAACTTTTCATGATCAGGTATGGAAAAGCAAGATGCACTGTCATGGAAACACTCATATGAAGTTGTGGAATCCACGTATTAATAGGAAAATAGTTAATGCAGCCCAGTATACTTCTATAACATTTGTTTTTGTGAACTTATAATGTTTCTTTGTATTAAATTATTAGATTATATCTTTAGGTAATACTGTTGTTAAATCAGCAGGTGTAGGCCGGGTGTGGTGGCTCAAGCCTGTAATCCCAGCACTTTGGGAGGCTGAGGTGGGTGGATCACAAGGTCAAGAGATCGAGACCATCCTGGCCAACATGGTGAAACCCCATCTCTACTAAAAATACAAAAAATTAGCTGGGCATGGTGGCACGTGCCTGTAATCCCAGCTATTCAGGAGGCTGAGGCAGGAGAATTGCCTGAACCCAGGAGGTTGCAGTTGAGCCGAGATCGCGCCATTGTACTCCAGCCTGGGTAGCAAGAGCGAAACTCTGTCTCAAAAAAAAAAAAAAAAAAAAGAAAGCAGGTATATTTCGATTCAAAAATAAATTGTGCATCTGATGTCTACCAGTTAATATCCTTGTAGCTGTAACTTTTTATTTTATTTTAATTTTTATTTATTATTTTTTTTGAGATGGAGTTTTGCTCTTGTTACTCAGGCTGGAATGCAATGGTATGATCTCGGCTCACTGCAACCTCCGCCTCCTGGGTTCAGGCAATTCTCCTGCCTCAGCCTCCTTGTAACTTTTTTTTTTTTTTGAGATGGAGTCTCACTCTGTCACCCAGGCTGGAATGCGGTGGCATGATCTTAGCTTACTGCAGCCTTCGCCTCCCAGGCTCAAGCAGTTCTCTGCCTTAGCCTCCTGAGTAGCTGGGATTATAGGTGTCTGCCACCATGCCCAGGTAATATTTGTATTTTTAGGAGAGATGGGGTTTCACCATCTTGGCCAGGCTGGTCTTAAACTCCTGACCTTGTGATCCACCTGCCTCAGCCTCCCAAAATGTTGGGATTACAGGTGTGAGCCACCACCTGGCTTTGTAGATGTAGTATCTTAAATGGGGTCTTTGTTGCCCCTAATGAGGCGTAAAGGACTATTCTCCCACTGGGAAGTTTTTTCTTAGGAGGGAGGAGGTCTTTTCCAGGTAATGTGTCTGGAGTGTGGGGCAGAAGAATCTGGGACCATACCATTTCTCTCCTTAATCCGCGTCATTTGCCTTCTCTCCCAGCTGTGTTTCCAGTGTCCTCTGGGTGTTTCCAAGAGCAACAAAAAGTGCATAAATCTCTGGTGAGTTGTCTATTTGTTCTTCACTTTGTTTTACGTTGTATTTTCTGAATTTATGGGGTATGTGAATTAAAATGGGAAAGTGGAAATAAGTGAAACTCAGCTTGAAGGAAGTGTACATAAATAAGGTAAAGCTGACCTGTAGTTATAGGCAGATTATAAGTGCTTAGAGTTGTCTTCGTTGAGTACATATTTTTCTCTGGTCTTTCTGATGCCATGGCAAAAAGCAGTCATGTATTACATGATTGGAGTGGAACCTGAGAAGAGAGCATGCTGCGTTCTCGTGGGACAGGAGAACTGGCTGTACCAAGTCTGAACCAGCACCTTCTTTCGTGACACAGATTATGTGGTGGGGCATATTTCACCACCAACCTGGCAGTAAACACTTTAATGTTGTGTAGTGGAAGTGGTCACCTACTGCTGCAGCACAGCTTCCATGATAAGGGTTACTCCTTGCTCAGAGTGTGGTCCCAAACAGCTTTTGGGAGGCTCTCCTTGATTCATGGATGAAACTTGGAACATCTTGCAGATTGAGTTGACAGCAGGTTCTTAAGTAAGTCTCCACGCATTTTTCTTAGTTTATCTCTACATGCAGGGTGTGCAACAGCCTGTTCAAAGTTACATTTTCTGGGAAATACTCCCAGTGTTTATTTGTACTTTAGCCCACTCTATGTAGTCTTACTTCTTCTGCACTCACCATTAACCTAAATAATAGTCAAATTTAGGGAGTGTTCTCTAATGTTTGCCTTACTCAAATCTTCTACTATAGTTGAAATGTCTGTTTATGATCTCCTGAAAATTCTTCTGTGTTAGTTCTGTTAAAAGAAAAACTTTAAAGGGGTTTAATTGAGCAATAAATGATTCACAAATCGGACAGCCCCCAGAATCACAGCAGATCAGAGAGACTCCAGTCCAGTCGTGTGGTGGAGAAAGATTTATAGACAAAAAAAAAAAGGGAAGTGTTGGGAGGCTGAGGTGGGTGGATCACTTGAGATTGGGCGTTGGAGACCAGCCTGACCAACATGGAGAAACCCTGTCTATACTAAAAATACAAAATTAGCTGAGCGTGGTGGTGCATGCCTGTCATCCCTGCTACTCAGGAGGCTGAGGCAAGAGAATTACTTGAATCTGGGAGGTGGAGGTTGCAGTGAGCTGAGATCATGCCATTGCACTCCAGTCTAGGCAACAAGAGCAAAACTTGTCCAAAAAAAAAAAAGGAAGTGACATATAGAAATTGGAAGTGAGGTACAGAAACAACTCAACGTTGGCCTTAATTGAACACAGTTTGACCACTTCGCAGTGTATGATTGGTTGAAGTCTGGCTGTTTGGATTGGCCAAGACTCAGCTGTTGTTACAGGCATATATTACCAAGTTAGGTTTTCATTCTTGTTTATTAAGTTAGGTTGCAGTTCATCCACAAGTACTCAAATATAGAAGTATGGAGTTCTTCTCAGGCCATATTTAGTTTGCTTTAACAATTCCTCCCTTTTGGTTATTTTCTTAATTTTCAGAGATTGACCAAAACTTTAGTCGTTGATGTCATTATTACCATTGCAAATCTACTTACTTTGTTTGAAACCCACTGGGAAATAGACCAGTGAGTTTTGAAAAGGTTGGAACACGGACTTGAGTAAAAGGTACCTCCTTATGCTGGAACATCCTCTTTACAGGAGAAAAGCAAAACCTTGTTTGTTCTAGGATTTGTGTGTTTCCTTAAAGTCTTAGTTTGATTGTGTTATATTTAGCATGAGTGACTCCATTTTGGTTTGGTTTGGTCTGTTGGGGCCTATTGCATGAGCTTAGTTTAAAACAATGGCCTCCATAATTTTGTTTAAAAAATTCTTCCTTATTATGCAAGTTCTCACTTACTTGAGTGTGTGACGAAAACTTAAGGCCTTAGCACCACTTTTAGTTACCATTATTTTGGGTTTCCGGTTTTAGCATGTCATTCATGGGTTACAGTGTCCTTATGGTTGCATATATATATTTTTTTGTCTCTTTGTCTTTTGAGACCATTTGACTGCATGCAAACACTTAAAACATTTGAGGAAATGTACCAGGGAGACTACTACTATGATGATTGGGAGGATAATACTGAGAATTTGGAGTGTGCTCCTTGCCCATGGTCCCATAAATCAAACAACCTACAATCAAATAGATTAAAGAATGAGTTAGATAAAGAGTTTACTTGCTTAACTAAGTGGGTTTTTTTTTTCTTTTTTTAAGACAGATTCTTGCTGTATCACTCAGGCTGGAGTGCAGTGGTGCGATCTCGGCTCACTGCAACCTCCACCTCCCGGGTTCAACTGATTCTTCTGCCTCAGCCTCCCGAGTAGCTGGGACTACAGGCATGCACCACAACACCCAGCTAATTTTTTGTATTTTTAGTAGAGTTGGGGTTTCACTGTGTTAACCCAGATGGTCTAGATATCCTGACCTTGTGATCCACCCACCTCGGCCTCCCAAAGTGCTGGGATTACAGGCATGAGCCACCGCGCCCGACCTCATTTTTTTGCTAATTCTCTACAACTGAATCCTTATAATACCTGATGTTTTCTCCATGTGCCATAAGTGTTAGCAGCTGCACAGATACTTTTCTGTTTGGCCAATTCTATTATTTAGCATAACTTTTACAAGGGAATTTGAAGTCTGTTGTGTAATCATAGCCTTTATAGTAGAATCTGCTCTAGAGCCTATCATGAGGGATGCATTTTAAATTACTGCCTTTTAAAATTCCAAACCATGGAAAAAGGACCTAACATGTGATGCCCTTCTAGAATAGTGAAGGCCTCTTGGCAATGTTCTCTTTAACCCATGACATGGGTCAAGAGGAGTGAATTAATGTTCTGTTTCTGACTGATTATGAGCCAACATACATACCATTAAAGTTTTTTACCTACACTGGGCCTTTATTTTTCATCAGTTAAAGTATAAGTTTATTTATGCATAAGGCTGGCTGCAAAATCTTTTACAAAGAAAAGTATATCCCATAAGTGCACACAACAAACCCCCTTTTTATTTTCATTGTTCATAAGGCATAAACAAGGAAAAATTCAAAGATAAAAGTCTCATGATAGTAGAGAAGTCTTGATCTGTGATCTTGGGAAAAGCTGTTCACAGAAGGATGCCATTCTTCTTCTGAGGAGAAACTGTCCTAGTGAGCTTTACCTTCAGGGTTCCAGTGGGTGTACGGTTCCCAGAGTGTGGAGGGACCCTTCTCAGTTGTGAGGCTATGAAACCAAGGTTTTAAAGTTTTATTGTAGTGTGGATGGCAAGGGCAGGCGTTCTCTGATGTTCTCAGAAGATCCAGTCATCAGATTCTAGATTGTGAAGGGGTTGACTGTTCTCAGTGAACCACAAAAAGCTTTCTTTAGCTGGTGAAAATATACTATAGCATAGTAATCTACTGTTACAACATCAGCCCTTTTGCATGGAAGAGCTTATACAATCGGAAAACATGCATTGAAGATGACAATTGAATGAAATCCCTTTATAAAATGTTTAAATGACCCATCAGGTAACCAGATGTACCTGAAGTTTTGATTGTTTTCCCAGGAATGTGGGTTTGACAAACCAAACATTGGTTATAAACTATTTTAGCAATTTAGAAGTCACCACACCAATATATTTAATTTGGATCATTTTATCTTTTCCATGATGAGTTGTGGAATACAGAACTTTTAATAACAAATGCTTTAAGGACTTAGGAAGGACCAGGTGGCCCTCTTGGTTCTCCATGAGTCCATGCTTAATTAACATTAGACTTACTAGCTGTTGTTTCTCCAAAGTAGATGCATGGCACTGGTAACTGATGAGTTATAGGTAATCTTACTTAGGCAGTGGCCAACATGGTGGAACCCTGTCTCTGCTAAAAATAAAAAAAATTGTCTGGGCATGGTGGCAGGTGCCTGTAATCCCAGCTACTCAGGAGGCTGAGGCAGGAGTATCCCTTGAACCTGTGAGGTAGAGGCTGTAGTGATCCGAGACCACGCCGTTGCATTCCAGCCTAAGCAACAAGAGCAAAACTCTGTCTCAAAAAAAAAAAAAAGGAAAAACTTGCTGTGCTTTTATTCCAGTTTTCAATTTACAGAAAAACGTAATACCCCTTTAGCCAGTGTCCACACAGAAAATTCTTCCACAACTCATTTAAACCCTTAGCTCTGTCTTGTTTAAAACAATTCTTTAACCTTTAAACTAGGCAAGCATTTACATTCCCATGCCTTTTTATAATATTTTACTAAAAGTACATTTTACATTCTTTGCACTGCTTGCATGTAAAACTTTTTTTTCCAGTAGTTTCCATTACTTTAAAAAATTTTTTTCCTTTTTTCCACCCCTCCCCCTTTATTTTATTTTAATTAATTAATTTTTTTTAGTAATTTCTATTACATGTGATAATGGTGACTCTTAGCAATTTTTAATTTTGGTGAAAAACCTGGTAAGTTATTTTAATTACGTACTAGGTACAGTTAAGGTCTGACTTTTTTCAGCATAGCTAGGGGTGTGGCTAGCTCCACGTTTCTAGGCTTTACCAAACTGTAAAGTGGGAAAGTCAAACAATTTTCAAAAGCCAAAGCAGCAGTTTTTTATGACTTTAAGGCATTTAGCAAAGCTAATATGTGACCTCTCTAATTTAGACCAAATGTCTTTATTTTACCAATAATCTTTTTTTTTTTTTTTTGAGATGGAGTTTTGCTGTTGTTACCCAGACTGGAGTGCAATGGCACGATCTTGGCTCACGGCAACCTCTGCCTCCTGGATTCAAGCAATTCTCCTGCCTCAGCCTCCCGAGTAGCTGGGACTACAGGCGCACACCACCATGTCCAGCTAATTTTTGTATTTTTAGTAGAGATGGGGTTTCACCTTGTTGACCAGGATGGTCTTGATCTCTTGACCTCGTGATCCACCCACCTCGGCCTCCCAAAGTGCTGGGATTATAGGTGTGAGCCACCACGCCCGGCCTATTTTACCAATAATCTTTAAAGCTGTTTTTATTTCCCAA